TTCGGAGCACGGATTTTGTATGAACAAGTATATTTATGATTTGTCATTAAAAAACAATTTATGGCAGTCATGTAACTTCATTCGGGCGAAAATTAAATCTGAATGCAAGGACGCTAGGGCTGTTGCAAAGAATTACATTTAATATTAGCACCGTAAAGCTAAGACAAATGATGAAAAAATTCGCTATTTAATTTTTCAGCTTCTATCTTTTTTTACCTTTAAGCTAAGAGACAATTTTTAAGTTCTACAAAAAAGAATAACTTAGCTTTCCACAAAGTAGATGAAATACAACAGCTGTTTTCGTCATGTGCTTGTAATAAAAGACATTGAGTTTGCAGCGTGGAAGCATAATATCAACATATCAGAGCATTTGAAAGTAGTTTATGATTAAGAATCACAACAATCGCGCCATTCGTTCACAAGTTGTAACCTTAACTTCGCCGTGACACTAGTCTGTATAAAGGCGTGAATGCTCCTAGTAATAGGCTCCTGACAATCCATTCTAGTGAGGAAGACGTGAAGTTAGCTTTTGGTTACGAAAAAAACGTTTTACCAAAGTTGCTTTGCGATGTGTTGTTGTCAGATATCAACGAGTGTTCTGATCCTCAAACCTGTCACGTTGATGCTGACTGCAACAATACTCATGGTTCCTATTTCTGCAAATGTAAAACAGGATTCAATGGAGATGGACAGAAGAATTGCTCAGGTATAACATACAGAGAGAATCCATTCTTCAATTTTTTGAGCGCTTCTTCTTATTATCGTATTATATATCATTCTACTTTGTATTTTGGTGTAAACAAAGTCCTGAGTACAAATAAACGTTCATGCCATTTGAGTGATTGGTTGACACACAAAGATGGCATTGATTAACTGGTGCCCTGATTGACAGCAATATTATTGGTTGTCCAAAAACTTAAAATCATTGTTTTCAGATATCAATGAATGCGCTGCAAGTTCACACAGCTGTGACCCAAATGCAGTTTGCAACAACACCAAAGGGTCCTTTTTGTGCACATGCAAGCCAGGGTATGTAGGGAACGGACAATTGTGCGTCAATGCTACCAGTAAGTATCTGGTTATACAATACTGTTACTATCAAATGTTATGATCAATGGTTTATATTGATTGTATTTCAGGAGGACTCGAGAAATCCTCCATTCTTTCTAACTATGGTAATGACAGCTATCTGCAGGTTCTAACAACATATCTAGATCCTGTATTGCAAGATCGYGGCACCAGCCATTGGAACCTGTGCTGGCATGCCAACTCAGATGGATGGGACGTYGAAAAACAATTTCACYCGAAATGCGACGGTCGTGGACCTTCGGTTACCATTGTTCGCGTCAACCAATACATTTTCGGGGGCTACTCTGACGTATCTTGGCACAGTAAGTATAGGAGATGATATATATTGTAATGATTTGCGCACCTCTCCCCTAGTGGGTGAGATTTGCCCCACGGCTACGGTGTCAGTTTTTGTGTGTGAGCTGCACGAAAGACGAACTTGTACAGTGCGTTGTTGTATGTTAAAGATTAGAGAACTACAAGCAGTAAACGAAGAAGCGAGGGCGTTACAATATTTGTAAGCCGCAATGATTGAATTTCACTACTCAGTTAAAAAAAGTGCATTATATTATTGAATTCCCGCTGATCTGTGTATCATGTGGTTTGTCAGAAATATAGAGACTGCTCACTTCTCTTCCGTTATGTGGCTCGTTCCCAGGTCCACCCCTCTGTTGTTGTTGGAGAGTCACATAACGGGGGAGAGGGGATGATTTTGAAAAAAAATATCCTTCAAGCCATCTTCACCAAAAATAAAATCGTGCACAACATATGGACCTGAAAAAAAAAACT